TTAAGGGACAAGGGGGAGGGGCACTCATACCTAAGGTAAGGGGAGCACTTATTTTGACAATGAGTTATGGGGAGGACCCACCAGACAAGGTCTGGATGACTGCAACTTCCACCTCCCCTCAATTTCTTCAAAGACTGGATAATCACCCATGACCTTGTGGTGAATAAGGAACTCACCCAGACCTTGAGATAAGGGTGGCACTCATCCAGACCTTGGGGTAGGGGAGGGGGGCAGTCATCCAGACCTTGAGGTAGGGAGGAGGGCAGTCATCCAGATCTTAAGCCTGAGGTAAAGGGCAGGGTTAGTCATCCAGACCTTGAGCGGGCGCTGAACAAAATAATATAAATACATTTAGGAACAAAATATTACTAATTACATTTTAACCTTACCTGCTCCATCCTGAAGACAAACTGGTTGAAGAAAAACTGTAAAGTTTCATTTGCAAAGTTGATGCACATTTGCTCAAAGCTGTTCCTCTCGAAATTCTTTGAAAAAAAAAAATACAAAAATTGTGAGAATACATTTTTATGTCTACCAACAGAGTGTCCCTGTGTGGCATTGCTCTAAATGCACGTTTCAGTTACAGTAAGAGAACCTCCACTGTTAGAAAAATTGGCCTTAGGTTGTTCATTACAGCAAGGTCACAGTAATACTGCACCATTTTAATTGCTGGTTTGCATGTGACATCACGGCAGCCACGTTGGTGGTCAAGAACAAAAGCATTTCTCTGGGAACGAAACTCTATTTTCATTTAACTTCTTCAAGAAAACGTTCTACTGTTTTGACCCCCAACATGGCCAAGTGGTTACATAGTTGCAAACCAAGAATACCAAGTAAAAAGGAATTTTATTTATAGACAAAAAAAATGATAAAATGTCCTTTTTTCACTTTTAAGTGCCACCTTTGTGAATTGGTGACAATTCCGGTTGCTGCCATCCCATAAAAGTTAATAAGAGAACACTGCTTCTTGATGACAGAAGAAATTGAAATATCATAATGTTTCACAATGGAAACTTATACGAGATAAGAAGCAAAAGTTGATAGTCATTATCTAATGATCAGTCAAAAAAGCCCTGTCTGGAAGTCTGGGACAAGTAAATTTTCTTGCCAGGCACAGCTCAAGACAAAAGTCACCCTCTAACAAAATTATTAACTACGACAAGCAAGAAGTGGCCCTGGGCAAGAAAAATGTGAAAGGCACTTGCCCAAAGGACAAGCTTGAATTCAATTTTTTTTTCAACCCCTGCATATACACTTCTTTCTTCTTTTTTCAGGAAAAAAATAAAATTTTGCCAAGATGACATCAATTTTGGGAAACAGAGGGATTTTTGGGAAGATACTACAAATCTTGAGCTGTCAACAAAAATGCAGACTTTGAGATCTTTAGTGCAAGAGTTTCTGTTAAGAACAGCTGGTATATTGTTTAAAGAGCCCACAGAACATCTTATGAGACAATTCGCACATAAAAGTATAACTGCTTACATGTAGGTACGTTAATAAAAAGAAAAAAAATTTATGAGGGATTGGGAATTAATAAAGATTTATTACAAAGGGAAGCTCTCCTAACAGACACTCTCATAAGCAGAGACCTCTAATTATGGCCACCTTCACAAAATGCCATTTTTCTCAACTCCCTTACAAATTCTGTATTTCTACATTCCTGTAAGCCGCCAGCTCCTGCCTCGGACACATTTTTCGCATTTGGATGGAGGGTGTCCGTTCTTGAGAGTTTCCACTGTACTCTCAGTACATCATAAGCCAAGGTAACTTCAGTTTTGTCCAATATAAACACATACATTATTTATTTGGAAGGCAAAGCTGTTTGGCAATAATTCAAAATGAAGTACAATACGTTAATTTGTTTTTCACTCATGGATACTGACATAAATTAGTTAGAACTCCATTACTGTTCAAATAACTTCTTCAATAATGGACTTGTCATAACTTAAGCATTAAACTACCAGTAAATATGGTAAACACAACTTGTGCTGTGTAATAACAGACTTTACCTCAAAGCCAAATATGTCAAGTATAGCAATAGATGTAGGCTGTTTCCCCTTGAACACATTGCTATTTACTTTACTTATGAGCCATGCAAACAGATGTGAGTAAATTTCTTTGGCAAGAGCATCCCTAGAAAAACAATTTAATAAATTATTCACATAGGCTTGTATTTAAGAAAACAACTTACACAAAACTAACATTTTCCAAGCAAAAGTCGTGCTACTTGATAAACACTATAATCTGACAATGTAATATGTAAGATCACTTTGTGTAACTTGTATCAAAGAATAACTTTATGACTGAGAAACATAGTGTTTTTCACCTAGCATCTGCTGCTTCATCCATTGATCTTCGACTTCTAACTTTAGAGCCACCTGCAACCTGGAATATGCATTGTTCAATTTACTTTAAATAGAAATGTTATTAATAATGCATTATAGTATAGACAATTCTGAGCTTAACTGTATCAAACATTTTCTCTGGATAAATACACTATGATTACTGCACTTTCTTAAAAAGTTGTTAAATAACACTCTAATGCATATAAGCCCAAGCAACCCCTACCCCTCATAATAAACCCCCAATACCTCCCTGACCAAACTAACGAATAAACAGAGCCCCCTTGAAAAAATCTCACACACCAGCCTGCATCACAGGTTAAGTCAACAACATAAAAGTAGTATAATACATACTTGCGTGTGCATATTTAAAAATTCTCTTGATTAGTTTAATACTCACTGTTTCCTTGTTGGTCAATGGCATAACAAGATCTTGTTTCTCAAGACCAAGTAACTGAGTAACAATCACGATTTGTGTTTGTCCCATGATCACAGCGGCTTCCTGCCCACCAGCCTGATAACATCAACATTGTAGAAAATGACTATACAAGTGTATTGGCAATCCCACAATGTATACAATGTGTAATATTGAGCCTCATAATGACAGGGTTATATAATTATGTGCCAGTCAAAGTTAATTAAAACATGGTTAAAATTTTTTAAACTTGGTTGATTCTCAATTTCCATTGTCTCCTAAGCCCTAATTATTTGCATGAATTTGGGGTACAAGACAAAAGGAAATTGTGAATCAACCTGGGCTAAAAAATTTAAACTTGAATATAATTTTGACTTGTAACATATAGATTTATTACATACAAACAAACACAATACACATATCCATTATGTTACATATAGGTAATTTTCATTTTTACACATCCTTACTACAAAAACATTCAATTCATTAAAAGCAACGTTTTTAAGGGAGTGACTTGCCAAAAGTGCAATTTGAGTTCTTGGAATGATGTCTTTATGTGACTTATTTACAGTGTGCAAAGAAAGTCCATTGTGTCCAGTACCCCACGGTTTTTAATAAGTAGGTTTTGTGGTCAGGCTGACTGATACATCCATCATTTTCCAGCACAATGATTCACTTTACTTGTTTTTGTTTTTCAGTGATTTCTAACAATATAAATTAATTTTATTTTATAACAACTTCATTTGCATAAAAATAGATGGTAAAAAGATGGATGAGTACAACGCTGACCCCCTTGCGAATCAACAACAAAGTGGGTAAAAGTAGGGTGGGGCAAAGGGGAGGTACGCTTTACCCTTCCCATTCTTGAAAAGAGATGCCATGTGCATAAAACATAATTATAGATTGTCAGGCAATCATAGCTGAGAGGTTCATCTGCTTACCTCAGTCTTTCCAAACTCTACATTTCCTAGGTGCAATATGACTGACAGAACCTTAAATATGGATTCCTTTTCACTTTCCTGTAAAAGAGGGTTGGAATGGACATGCGATGTGACTATCTCTCATAAAATACGTGTATAACTGTATATATACGCATAATGCTTTCAAAGTGAAGCCTATACTAGCTCAAAAATGTGAGATACACATGCACAGTACGTTTTTTATAATTTCCAGCTCATGCAATCAACACTATATTGCAGTAGGAGTGGGGAAAAACAGCAGCAAGGCTTTAGCAATGAAATCACGAAAAGACAGATTTGCACGATGAATGTCAAAAACATGAGCTCTATTAGGCCTTGTGGCTTACTGCATCTTTAAGTATAATTATTATACTGGAAAGAATTTTCTCACCTAAATTACATTAAACTGCAAAATAAGCGGAAATGAGAGGATGAAGATTTTGAGCAAAAAAACTTACAGATATTCCCAGTGCATCCATTGATTGAATAACTTGTTGAAAGTAGGATCTTGGGTTTCTTGCAGCGATGAACATGGCTCTTCCCTGAGAAAAAAAGTTGGAGTAGTTGATATCTCTATAACATGTTGGTGCAGTAGATCAGGGTGAAAGAAATGAATAAATTAGAGTAAAAGACCAATACATGTAAATTACTGGTCAATGTTGCAGATTATGTTTTATTTGGACCAATACATTGCCATGATCAGTGCGTTGAATAAACCTTATGAATATGCAGCAAATATTATTTTCCTTTATTAATCAAATTCAGCACGTGGCTGACTTCTTTTTTGCTCAACCTAACAAATAACTGCTTATAGTGTACATAGGTAGTAGTACAACACAATTACATTTTACAAATCTAATATTCTGATTGGCTTTATAGTACATGTACAGGTGTACCTGGTTAAGGTATACAAAATCCTCAGCTTTTGTGAGACTTAATTTAATCTTTTGGTCCTCCCGTAATCCACTCAGCATCTCATAGAAGATGTGATAGTTTCGTTCACCAGCAGACTGTTGACAAGGAAGGACAATATTGTCAGATGACTTCAAACTGAAGTACACCCAGGAATTTAAGGTTACTGGATACCATCAGCAGTGTCTAGCTCACATGCTAGTGATGTTAAGTGAGTGTGTATAAAATGTGAGCCAGCAAGTCATGCAAGCCATGCAGTCCATTGAAGAAAAAAACACCATAAAAATCGAAAACAGTAATAAAGAAAACATTAACTGAACGCTAACCGTTGTAAATAAGTGTTTGACCCTAAACAGCGCTTAACCCTAGCCCTAAAATCAGGGCTTCTGATATTTCGCGGAAAAAAAAGCAAAATTTCGCGGGATTTTCAGGGGCAAATTCGCGGAAAAATCGGCCGATTTCGCGGGATTTTCGCGGGAAAAAAGTCAAATTTCGAAGGATTTTCGGGGCAAATTCTTGGAAAAATCGGCCGATTTCACGGGAAATTTTTGGGGGAAACTTCGCCAAGAAACAATCAGTAAAAAACAGCCGATTTCGCTGGATTTTTTTGGCAAATTTCGCTAAAATCGATCAATTTTGCGTCGATATGACCAGCATTGTTTAACGTTTTTTTTAACAGAGATAATCATTTGCTCTTTCAACAACAGTTCGCTCGAGAAATGAGCGACTGCTAAAACTGAATAACATTATGGTTAGTCCCCAGTATTTCGCAACGTTCACCTAAGAACGCCTGGTAGTTTTGAGACGTTATTTACTCGTTGCAGTGACGAAGTTTCAAGATAAATTTGGATGTTTGGGGTGAATAGAACAGGTCTAATAGCCAAGATAAGTATTAAATATGTTTTTCCGACATGTATTTGGAAATATTTCTGGCGGATTTCGCGGTATTTCGTGTTTTTTTGGGAATTTCGCGGGATTTCGCGGAAATACCTGAATTTCGCGGGTCCGCGACAGCGCGAAATATCAGAAGCCCTGTAAAATGGGTGCTTAACCCTAATCCGTAAAATGAAAGCTTAACCCTAATCAGTACAATGAGTGCTTAACCCTATATCAGTATAATGAGTGCTCAACTCCTCATCTGTAAATTTGCAGTTTTTTCTTGTGTTTCCTTTTTTTTTTACCGATGCCTTGTGTCACTCACATGGCTCACTGGCCCACAGTTTGTCAAGACCCATGTTAAGTGCATTCCCAAGACAAAGCTTGCTTGGAGTACAGCAGCCTGCAAATTGATCCCTATAACATGTGTCAAAACTAGATGAAAACCTACTTTCATGGGTCCGGTTCCTTGAAAGATGCTCAAGTTAAGCACGGTTTAGTTATCTAAGAACATGTAACTCAAGCTTACAAAATACCATTGAGCTTTTACTCTGAGATACAGTGATGATAGCACAAAATGTTACCCTAAGCAATGCGTAGGAAGGTAAAATACAAAAAGTAGATCAAAATTTTAATCCTGGATTAGCATTAAATACCCTTTCAGGAACCGGGACACGCACGTGTACATAAAACGGTTTTGATTATTATTACTGGATGAGAAAAGCTAATAGTACCTGTCTTGCAACCCTTGATTTTTCAAGGAGATATTCTGAGATTCTAGCTCCTGAAATTTTACTTTCACTACAAGGAAAAAATATCAAAAAAAAACATTTATTAATTGCACTTTACCTACACAAGCAAAATTTTAATGAATCACAATCAATGTGATATTGCAACTGCAAGAATAACACAAAGGTTGTGAATTATTTTTGGCGTGATTTCTGCTTAACCTTAAAAATGGTTTGAATACCATGCTTGTCAACAGAGAAATAAAAATCAGTTGCAGACTAAAACTTTCCCATTGTTTCAAGCTTTGCCTCAATCAACACCCTTTGCGTTTGAATTGGTCTGAAGCTGGGTTATAAATAGATTGCACTTTACTCCTTGCCTATAAATAATATTCATATCAAAATTGGCACTTCATTAATTGATTCTCAAGACTCTTGTCTCTCATGGCTTGCGACAAGATATTACTTTGTCTGTCTGGCCTTTCAAGGTGAGAGACTTGTCTCACAAGAAACAAGACAAGGCTGATAAACTTACTTTTGAGCAGTACTACTGTACACTGCAGTATCACGGATTAAACTCTTATAGTCTCCTCAATTAACCCCTTCTCTCCTCAAGGTAAATTTCAACCAAGAAATGGTAAATCTCATTTTTGTAAAATCCTAGGACTTTAAATATTACTATTCAAAAACTCTGCCAAAGAGGTTACATAATTTTGAATGGTAATATCCACAAAGAAGAAAAAGGTATAAAGCAAATATCAATTCATTTCACCACAACTTGGTCAACTGGAGTTAATAGGATTACTACACAAATAATGTATAACACAGTTAAGAAAATTTTGAGCTCAGTTTAATGTTGGCTGTCATTTTGTGTATGGCAATGAACAAATAATGAGGGCAGCAGAAAATAACAATATACGTATTTCAGAACATGCTGATCATACTTGTGTACAAACCTGTCATAGTAAATTTCTAAGTACTTTCCAAATCTACTGGAGTTGTCGTTTTTCACAGTCTTGGCATTACCAAATGACTCTAACAGTGGGGTGGAATTTACAATCTGTAAAGAAAAGACTTCAAATTAATATTCTTTAAGGACAAAGAAAGCACTGGTAGAAAGAGTGTTTTCAACTGCTGCACCAAAAGTATGGAACAACCTTCCATATAGTACATTAATCAGGAATGAAAAGAACTTTAAGGTGTTGACATAATTTAAGAAGTTGCTCAAGTACTATTTTAAAATAGCTTATCACTTAGTTAGCTGAACGTACTTTTTTAACCTTTTAAAAGCCTTTTTAACCTACTTTAGTCTTAGAATTCTTATAGCAATTACCTTACATTTTAAGTTGTTAAATTGCATTTATATTGTACATATATATATAAAAATTACTATTAATTTTAATTCTTGATTATTTTTGTGTAATGTGCAATTGATCATATTTTTATGTTAATTTGTGCAATATAAATGATATAAAATTATATTATTATTATTATTATTATTATTATTATTATTATTACTATTATTAGAAATCAAGGAATACATAATTAAAGTAGGTAAATTCTGTTTTGAGGTTAAACCAGAATTACCTTCAACGCCTATTAACAGTACGGACTTGGATACTATGGAAACATTCTGAGTCAAACATGGCCTATGAATAGTCAGTCTCTCCTAACTCCTCACTGCTAGGAACATTTTGCAGGAGAGACATGTATCTGCACTTAGCAGCAAGAAACGAGGAGAGACAGCTGTATTCCAGGCTAAATCAAACAATGTTGAACACCGGTGACAATGTAATAAGCTTTTGAATAAAGTTTGTTATTATTAAATAACAATTGTTTGATAGTGATCCTATTTGCTGATCATTATGTACAGGTAAAAAGCAAAGAAATTCAAACCAAAGAAAAAATTTGAACCACAACATATACATGTGAAGGCCATATACAGGTACACTGTGAACTTTACAGAAATTAAACGCAAATTTTTTAGGAAACAGTCCAGTGATCTTAATGTACAGGGTGACCACTACACGCAGGGATGTTATATACAGGTTTGACTGTACTTGGCTGACAGAACATCTCACCTGTCTTACAACTTGGCTTCTGTCACCTTGAGTGTCTGTTGTCAAAAATTCAATAAGAAGTCTGCTACATTCAGTCTTGCCAGCTCCACTTTCTCCACTGATGACAATTGCTTGCTTCTGTTCTGTTCGCAACATGGCCTGGTATGCAGCATTTCCAAGAGCATAGATGTGGCTGAAAAATTTGTGGAAAGGACACCTTAAATGTACTGAAAGATGTGACAAATTGGGTTTGATGAACATTATGTTAAAAACAGCCAGTTTCTCATATTTTCTTTGAAATACTTACAAAAATATATTATAAGTTTAGATAGAATAACAATGTTAATAAAATGAACAACTCCAAAATGTGAATATTATTTTGGGTCTGTGTCGGTAATCTCTACATAATGTTTCCTGTTAAACCACCCTTTGTGTCTTTACATGTACAATACATGCAATACCAAATACAAATTTTCCACACTTTCTATTAATGCCCTGTGGTACTACAGAGAAGTACATGTGCATGTTTCAAAAGCACAACACTAGGAGGTATTTACACAAGACGGGGATGAAATCAGACCGGTATGAGTTTGTATCAGTCTCCATGCAATTTTTTTTTCAATGCATTTTCATGGGAATGGCCTAAAAATGAACTCAGACTAGTCTGACTTTGTCTCGGTCACTGACCCAACACGAGTTACTTGTGTACCAGTCTGAGACCGTACCGTTCTCATGAAAAACTGAAATGAATCTCAGACTGGGTCCATATAAATAGCATGTTTCTTCATATGGCTCCATCAATTTTGCTTTTTCTTAGCAAAAATTGGAACTCTGTACTGTTATGGATAAAATCAGTAAACAAGACTTAAAAGTAGCTTCAATTGAATATATGCTATTGGATTAAAGTGAGAGATTGCACCATTTTGAGAAGCTCTGCAGTAAATATTAACGGAACACCAGATGAGTGTTAGATAAAACTTATAATTTTCTGGGCGCAATAAAAACTCTGCGGTTGTCTACTCACTGTCTACTGACGTAAATTGTGTGCCAGTTAGGACAGTTAGTGAATAATATATGTTACGTAATTGACTTGTGAAAGTTATATAGCTCCAAGAATCTCCTCTTTTTGAGTTTGTACTGGTCTCATGTAAATATCGACCAATCATTCTGTCCCACTCTCATGTAAATGGCCACAAAAATTACACATTCGTACCAGTCTAAGATAGTTTCGGTCTCACGTAAATTCCCCCTTAGTCTTTAGTACCATCATCTTGACCTTTACACTGAAAAGCTGATGTCGTGAGGAGAGGACAATGGGAGTTTTACCAGTATAAATGACTGAAGCACTGCTGGTTGGGTAGAAAAGCATAATTTGACCCCATAAAAACATTAAAAAAATTCAAGCTTCCACTTCTACTTCCTTATTCATTTCTACTAGTACTTCAGCCAAAATAAAAACATTGAACTTAGATTTTAAACTCAAATATATACTTACGGGGACTGGCCAGCAGTTGATACTCCAGAATATTTTTGCACTGCTTCAGGTCCATAAATGTCATAATGTGTGTATGGATTCACAGAAACCAAAATACTGCCAATGTTTGTCTGTAATTAAATGATAACCAAATTATGAGTAACAATTCAATGCCACTAAAAATTGTGAAAATAAAAATATTTAATAAAGTCCACTAATACCTACTATCCACCATTTTCTTTAAGTGCAACTGTCACGGCAAAACCAAAAACCTCACAGCAAAAACAAAATACCTCGCAGAAAAACCAAAAACCTCATGGCAAAACCAAATACTTCACAGTTAAGGTATTTGGTTTTTGCTGTGAAGTATTTGGTTTTGCCGTGAGGTCTTTGGTTTTGCTGTGAGGATTTTGGTTTTGTCGTGAAGTATTTTGTTTTTGCCGTGAGGATTTTGGTTTTGCCGTAAGGTTTTTGTTTTTGCCGTGAGGTTTTCAGTTTTGCCGTGAGGTATTTTGTTTTTGCCGTGAGGTTTTTGGTTTTGCTGTGACAGTTGTGGGCCACCGTACATATATGTATGTAACAGGTCAAAATTATATTCAGGCTGAAATTTCTTAACTTAGGTTGATTGTCAATTTCCTTTGCTTCCTAGCCTTGATTATTCATGATTTAGGGCTATGAGACAAAGGAAAATTAATTGACATTCAACTTAAGTTTAAAAAAATTTAACCTGAATTTTTTAATATCAACCTGTAACATGTAAACCCAAGAACAAATATAACTCTGCTCACTTGCAATTATACAAATGTGCAATGTTCTCTTAGGCAGGAAACTTACATAGATGAGGTCTTTTTTGTATCTTTTACGAATGTGGTACAGGACAGATCCCAAATGCAAGTCACTGGAAATTAGAACATAATAACAATTGTTATTACTGAACATTTATTTACAACTACATGTAGTTAGTCCTTTTTTTGGCCTCTGTCTGTCTCTCTTTTGCAATGATGTAACCATTATGTCATAGTCCATGTAAATGAGAAATTTTCCACAGGACACCCAATACTGTGACAAAACAATCTTGGCCCGTTTTATTTCATGTTACGGAAGAATTTCCAAAGGAATATACCTTCAATTTTATAAAACAGTTTTGACTGCTTTGAAGAAGTTAAGTTCATGTGCAGGCCTTGTGGTGTAGCTTTTTCCCCGCCACACAATAATCCCACATGTTCATGTAGGTTCGAATCTTAGCCGAGGTATCATTTTGTGTGTGTGCCTTTTTCTTTAATCTGCTATTTCTCTTGTTATTGCTGTATTGAATTCCTATGTCCAAGATTTGCTGTCTTACAGCCAAATCATATAATCTGTCTTAACTGAGTCCAGGTTAAGGTGATTGAAGCCTGGTTGGCTTAAATGCTGGGTTAACTACAGAGCATTAAAATTATTATTTTACTGCCAATAGATTTGTCCTAACTATCTTTTCAACAAGTCTGCCCAGGTTTAAGACATTCAAGTCTACTTACTCCAGTTTTATCAAGTCATCCAGCCTTCTAGAATCCACCTCCTTCCTCGCAATGACAGCATTTTTACGAACAACTTGCAGCTAGTAATAGGAGCAATAATATAATCAGTCACTAAAAAAATGGCTTTTTATAGGTGCATGTGAAGTTTGAAAAAGGAAAAACACTGATATTTTGCTTGATAAAATAACAATATGACAAAGCATCATAAACTATTGTCTGGCTTATTTGATGACACCAGCAAACTGTAGTATACACTACTCTACAGCAAGCAATATAATATTATTAGTAACCCGTTGATGCCTCAGACTTTTTACATTTTCAAGTGATTTTCTATCCACAAACAATCAATAGGATTTTGTGACTCAGTATTTGGGGTTACCATGAAAAGTGCCACTGTTCTGAAACACTGGAGGCTCAAGTTTTCTGGAAAAGTCACTCTGATGTAATCATTTTGCTTCATCGAGCTATAATAATGGCTGGTGTTTGGTTTGTAAGCGATTTTTAGTAAGTTTACAGCCAGTTCATTTTTAGTGGCTGCCTGATGAGTATCATTAAGCATGACGGTAACTAAGAGTCCACATTCTCAAAGAAGCGAGTAAGGTGATGTACTTCGTTTGCGAATTTGGTTACTTGCTCGTGGAACTGGAAAAATGACTGCTCTGAAACGAAGTAACTTTGGAACTGGACTACTGATGAATTTCATGACCTACCACGGCATATTTTGGAATTTGCCACCACTGAGAATTACAACAAGCGCGAAATTTCCGTGGTAGGTCGGAGTGGCTGTGGACTTGGTATCAAATATGAAAAAAGTGCGGGAAGGAATGAATGCTGTCAAAAATTCTGGTTATTTCCCGGCATGCAATGCAGTTGTGATGTTGAAAATCGAGGCAAGACCAGGATGCACTAGAACAGAAGGCTGTAGCTTGGCCCAGGAAATGAATAACAACAAGGACTGAATTTTACTGAGAATGTTGACTTTTGGTTTTGCAATAATGATTTCTGTAAAAAACCTGAAGGTAAAAAACATGACTTTTGTCATTTTTCTATGACCTTAAAAACAGTCATTTTTGTTCTTGTCCAAATTCAAAAGGTAATATGTTGAAAAAAGCGCTGACTTTTTTACATTTATTGGATATCCCAATTTGAACTCAATGCTGACAGCTGACAGGGCCACATTGGATGGAGGCAAAAGATATCGCCCCTGCACCAATGCTTGCTCCCCATAATAAATAAAAATAGTTACCTCTCCTGATTCCTCATGCTGTACTTTAAGATCCTTTGCCACAAATGCCAAAAGCTTCCCAGGCAATAAATATCCTAGATTCACATCAAACCAAACCAATGATCCCTGGAATAGGTAAACACAGAGAAAATGATATCAGTTTAGAGGAATTATTTGACATTACACTTATGAATGTTGATGTGTGAACCATAAAAGACACAAGTCACGTGGTTTTATAACAAGTTTCTCTCTGCGAATGGATTATCACAACCTGACGAAAGTCCCAAAAGCTGTGGACAAAATATAAAGGGTAACATAATTTTTCAGAAAATCTTCACAAAAAAATTTAATAGAAGACTACATTTTTGATTTTCCAGTTGCTATGAATCAAAAGGACCATCAGGGTAATCATTAATTTTCAAATTTACCCTAAATTATTTTAACCCGATTCTCAGTTCTAGCCTCATGCTGTACAAATTCTCGCCTTTTTTAGATTCACAAGCATAATGGAACAGTAACTTAGTGGTCAGGTAAGTAAACCTCTTATTACATGATGCCACTAGATAACTCAACCAGGTAACCCAAACACCTCTCCCCCCCCAGCCCCCCCACCTCCCCCCACCCCAATCCCTGCCTCCTCTCTTCAATAGCCACTCCCCTCTCCACTCAAAAAAATTAATATGTGTCCAGGGAGCCAAAACAAGCATTTACAGCATACAGGCTATGGCAGATAACACAAATTTTGGCATTGACAATCATGCGAAACCTCATCCAAACAATAATTGTATATATAAATATCAAGACAGTTTTTTCAACAGCATGTAAATGAATAGATGAAGTTAGAGACTAATGTTCATACAGAAATGACTGAAGAAACTTTGATTACCGCTAGAGAAACTAAACAATGAAGAATTGCATGCCATCAAACATCACGATTTGTATCTATGTAAAATAATACCACTTAAGGATGTTGGCCGCTAATAGACTATACAGCAAATGTGTAACTCAGATTATGCACAACTAGAATACATTAAAATAAACTTTAACCAACCTCATTTTCTTTTACACAACAAACAAAATTAAACTATTCTTAAAAATGTTAATTAACTGACACTCCAAATTTTGTTGGTAAAAAAAAGTAGTTTGGAAATGTGCATTAACATGTCAAGACAAAAATGCTAACAATGTAAGCTCCACTACCTGTTGTACGTAGGTCTAACAAGTTCTGACGAAAACTTGAGTATTTTACGTAACTACTTGGACAACAGGGTGCTTTAGAGGAAAGCAATGCTCTGCTATCTCAACTGAAAATATCCATTATATTACTGACAAGAAGACAATAAATACCGCTAGCAATATTATTGAAAACAATAACATAATCTATTTACATTCTACTTATTTCACTCATAATGAAACGCATCTAAAGCAATAATTATAGAAGGTGAGCAAACTTGGATGCAGCTAGCGAAATTCATCCAAAACATTTATATGCTAAACACCTGAAATTATCGACCGTGTAGAGTTGTTGTTTGGACTGTATATATGCAGTATGCATTATTGCATAATTTCAAGGCAATCTAACCATGAAAGTGAAAGCGTAGCTAACAATATTTTGAATGCAATTTTATTGTAATAAAAATTGGGAGACAGTAATCAAATTATCAATCACGGCGAGGAAATACGGAACAGAGAAAACAGTTGATGAAACGTGTTAAATTCAATTTCAGGGGGCGTTGACTCGATGCGTTTGTAGTGCTGTTAGCTGCTAATTTTACATCCTTCGCTGCGCTCGAACTCTGCACGAAATGTCTCGATCGTTCCTCTTTGCCTAAGGCATGCTGCTAATTTTAGTACGAATATTTTTTCAAGTTTATCATATAAAACTTGGATGAGAAGAGGATCGGTATTTAAACACGCATTTTATGAATAAAGTCTCTTTGAGCGGAAAACGTGTAGCTATTAAAAATGGAACAACTTGACGAAAGGAAATCGAACCGGTATCAAGGTTTCAAATTCTCGAAGCTGCAATAATTAACCCCTCATTCACCAATTGGCAATAAGATGAATTAGGTAAAATCGTCGACTGCTACCTACCAAGCGAGTGCCAGGCGTATTCTTTGCAGTGTTTACAAACTACTTTGAAGTTTTAAACATTGCAAAAATTCTAAGCCCAAATGATAAAGAAATGTACATACGACATGATCCGTGTATGTTTAGCGCAAACATTACAAAAATGAAACACACAAAACGACGGTTTTGCACCTTTAGCTTAAATTCTACAAAGGGCTTACAAGTTAAAACAGTCTAAAGCCTCAGTAAAGACAAATATCTTTCGTCAAAAATACCGGTAGTCGTTCCCTGGTAATATTATCAATGGCATGCCTAGACAAAAACTAGCACGTAACGTCGCTTCGCTTCCTGAAAATCTATCGAGCTACAGTGCGTGCAACTTACCACAGCGGCTGAGTTCGACATCAATGCAAACTTGAAGTTCCCTTGAATAAGTCAGTCGTTTCTTAAATGTAGTCCTGCAAACGCGGCAAGTTTAACGTTCTACTTTTAACCGATTCCAGTTACAACAAGCAGCCATTTTGACTTAGGATAGTTTTAACACTGCTCAAATGATAGCCTGCTTGTGAAAGGTAGTCTTTCTGTTGTTACTTAGCGACCACGCCAGCGACCAAATCGGCAGTGGGCAAAAAAACGTCGGGAAAATATCTCTACCATTTTTTAAAAATAGATTACTGTAACACAGATTTATTTATGTATCTATTCTACTCACTGATTTTTTTGGAAAGATTTTTACTACACGAGATTTGATATAAAGTCATTTTAAAAGTGATCAAATAATGAACTCTTTGGCTTAACATTCTTTCCGCGTTGCGTCATAAATGTCGTCACAATTTAGTTTAGCTATAGTTTTCACTGTTTAAACTGCAGATATTTCGATTGTCAATACTTACAGTGACTTTTTTTCTGGAATCTTCTGCCCATAAAAGACATCATTACTTGGGCAATTTAACCATGAATTTAATTATCAAAAATAGAATGTTCCCTTGATGCATTCCGGATCAACACTTCATGTCTGCGGTATAAATAACTTCAGTACACAATATTTATATAACTGTATATGTTTTTCGAATGTGGGTTTATACCTCGGGACAATCCAAACTGATTTTTCTTCCGTTTATGAGAAGCATTCGACAGTTTGAACGCGTTCTTCACAACAATGAATAACATAAAAGCAACATTTTTGGTTTATTGATGCTATTTCCCTCGGTATTTCCCTAAGCGGTTCTGAAAAACTATTCTTGCATGCACAGGAACTTCGGCACCGGATATGTATATTTATTTTAAATAACTCCTAAAATCAGTGAGACTTTAAAGAGGAACTCTTTAAGAAAGCTAGTTTACTTTGCTTTGTAAGTCTAGTTATCAGTCCGAGTCTTGTCATGTAAACTTAAATGATTAATTGAATAGTTTGTGCTGTATTAACGTTAAGTTTTGAAGCTTCATCTTTTCCACGGTGCTCGGTCAGTATTCAGGAAGCATACGGCCCTATTTAGTCTGATCTAGTTGCTCTTCACTGACAATTAGGACTAAACCGCAATCATTTGAAGCCACCATATATCCAGTACTCGAGCTATAATTCCGCAGAGGGACTATAACTCATGTACGTAAAAAGATAGATACTGATTCACGTTGAAGTAAGGAAAAATTTATGACTAATTTGCGGGTCATTACTCGGTCGACAAAACACCGACAAAGGGAATTGGGAAAATATATATTAAAGTTAACTAAGTCGCATTTAAGAAAGCCCGACTACCCCTAAGGTATTTCTACGACAAAAGACTCAATAGTACGAGAAAACTATTCGGTCAACTTCACAAACAATCCTTCAAACGTTAGCGAATTATCCATACCTGTTCAAACTCGTAGAAGTAGTCATCTAAACTTGTGTCCGCCGCTCCTTGTAATTGAAGAGATGATTCCGGGATTCTTTCAACATTGTCGCTAAAACTTACACGTTTCCTTTTTGGATTGTACATTGATAAATCAAAGTCGTGTTTTTGGTGAGTTTAAGGACGTTCAACTGACGATCATTTTACACGAACAATCACCGTCTTGCTCATGTTTGAAAAAGCAAGCCCACACGGCACTTCATGCAATATATTGACCATTCACCTGCGAATCTCTGAGCAGAATTGTTTTCTGATATAGCGCAAGTACCATGCAGATATTTGGCAAGCGAGGTCGGCACATCAAGTCCCTCGTCACGTCGCTGCCAGAGTCAACTTGTCATATTAGTAACCTTCGGTCCGGCGGCTTTCTATTTAAAAACTGCACGAGTATATTTTTCTTAGTTTTGTTTGGCCAGTTTATTTGAGACCATGAGCGTTTCAAAACAACAACTAAGCTCTTCAAAAGCATGAAACAAAATTTCTTGAGGTTTCTTTCGCATGGTCATTGGTATTAATATTAATTGCACGTGACAGATTCATGATTTCTACTAACAAGATTTCTACGTTACTATACAGATGAGATACAAAAAAGTAACTCAAACAAGAATCTTTACGAGCGCCGCCGTTTCTCTTTTTTACGCGCTCACGGAATTTTAAAAAAAGTTTGCTAGTCAAGCGTGAGTGAGCAGTAAGTACCATGAATGACAACTGTCAAGCATAATTGTACTATGTTTGTTTTTAGACGGTAGAAGTTTTAAAGAAACTAAACTTCTTCTCCCCCAAATAAAAAACTCTTCAAGGTCCGTTCTTGCCTAAGGAGCATTATATTTACAACCTCCCTTGTCGCATTTTTTCACCCTGTAAAATTCACCTTGCCCCTCATTATAGGCGTTTGGATGATGATGATGATGCTTGGGTTGGTTGACAAGTAGATATTGAGTGGTAAATTACTTTACAGTCGAACGCCGACCTAAAATTGGAGGTAGTGTTAAGTGATACATTCAAAAACGTGTTGGTTTACACACCCAGTGAGTTTTCTTCATTCTGGAGAGCAATTTCTGCTATTGGTTGCCGAGTTACTTTAGTTAAGACGGCGTCATGAAACCAAGCTAATGTAAGTCGCTCTCATTAAATTGAAGGTTAGCTTACGTCAAAATTTGGCCTAGCGTCTATTCCTGGTCTATTCTTTTAAAATTCAGGTTTACTCACTTATACAACGTTTTGAAAGGTCCATTGGGAAAAGTTAAGAATGGCCATTGTTTTGATGTATGATCAAAGCAGTTTAAAACAGTTTGAAACACGCACACAAATCGATTACTTCCTTTATTATCCTTACATCATTTAATAACCCTTTAAACTTTGAACTTTTATTGTTTGAACTTATTGAAATAACTGTCTGTCTTAAGGGTAAAAAATGTGTGAAAAGTAAGGCGACCTCGGCCAAATAATCGAGCCGTAAAACACGAGTTACTGAACACGATTCAGGCGGGTACACAGGCTACTCAGAAGACTGTGCCCATTAAAATCCGGCACGGACAGGCTGAACCTTATCATATATAGGAAAATGGTTGGTATGAAACATTGTTTTACCTAGACCCACTAATGTGACAAGAAAGTTTTTCATTCGTTAAGCAAAATCGGTTTCCTGGGATGCACGAGCGTTTCCTTTTTTAAATAAAAATTTGACTAAATTCAATATGTTAACACTTTCTCTCGTCCTGGGAACAGTTGGGTCCGCAACATTATTTTCCGTGAAATTAAAGTGGGAATTGTTTGCCTACTTAGCAACTAGTGTTTGGCCAGGTCTTAAATTTGGCGTGACATTTCATGAAAAAAATATTGACTCCGAAGTGAGTTTCACCTATGGATCAATGATCAGCTTGAGCCGTGTATCGGGTCACATCCTATAGCTAAGTTGTTAGAAATAGTAAGAAACAACTTAAAACTTGTAGCTTTTTATACGCATAACCCTTGAGCGCGGAAGTTAAAACATAATTGATGAACTGTGACTCGCGTGGGAAATATGTTTTGCGGCAGGAAAAGTTGAAACCACTTACTTAAACTGAACCCACTGGAAAGAAATTGAAGTTTTAAAGACCCTTGTGTTTTCAAAATCTGAAATTACTTTGTCAAAAAGGCGTGTAAGAGTTTTGCCATTGTGTACGTGAGGAACCTCAAGTTCTATCAACAATGTTCAATGGAATTACAACTGTTCTCAAAATTATCCTTGCAGCTAGAGGTCTATATTGACTCTCCCAGCAGATACCGCAGCATTTACTATGTACTTACCTGAAAATTAGAAATATTCATTTGTTCTGACTCTCTCCCTTTTCTTTGTTTCCTTTCCCTTCTCCCTCTCGTGTTATGTTTTTATGTCTGGTTTGCTAACACAAATTAAACTCAGCTGCACGAGCTGCGTTTTCACAACTACTTCAATGACCGGAACTATCTGCCAATACTGAGTTCTGCCGCCCTTGCAATCTCAGATTTAATTCGTCTCCAGGGAAGACCGTGAAGAACTCGAGCAGCCTCCTGCCTCGATCGACCTAGGGTGCTTACCATTTGACAGAAAATTTCGGAAATTCCGGATGGAAGGTAAATGGTAAAGTCACTTTTCGGAAATTCCAACCGAAAATTGAGGAGCACGTTTTGAGGTAGTCCTTTCATTCCGGTTGGTGCGAACCAAACGGAATGTTGCTTACCATTAACCAGTTTTTCGGTTCCTTCCCGGCTCCAGACTCACGCTGCACAAATTCGCCCTTTTTTGGATTCAAACCGTAACGGATGTGTCATTTCTACGGTAAACTGGTAAATCGCTTACCATTATGCTTTCGACACCCCAACCGGTTTTTTCTGTCAAATGGTAAGCATCCCTAGATACACAAGTAGCAGGGCACCCAACGATGGTTTACTCACAAATGCATAGAAAACACTTTTTAAACTATCCAGAGTACTTTAATTTAGACCTTTACAAATGCATTCTAAGTGGCGCTATAACATTCATGAAAATTTGTAGCTGTTCGGTTATTCTAGGGAAATTGCAAGGGCTTTAGTACTTTTCCCGAAAATTTTAAATGCGACCAATGTAGCCCATTATGAAACTGAACATTTTTTTAATCTTCTCTATCACATTTTTGACTCCGAAAATTTTAAGTTTTTCTTCACCTTCCCTAGCCTAGCCTAGGCAGTGAAATGTGAAAAATTAAACAGTGTAAATCACCAACTTCTCCTAAAGAAACTGCCTGGGTATGGTATCAACAACCATGAACTGAGGTGGTTCAAGAATTATCTTACGAGCCGATGTCAATCTGTTGTCTATGGCAGCGCACAGTCTGCACCTCAGCAGATAAAATCTGGGGTCCCGCAAGGGTCCATACTTGGTCCGATTTTGTTTTCGATTTACATCAATGACTTGCCCAACTGTTTACTTCAGTCAAAGATCCTACTTCATGCGGACGATGCTGTCCTTTTCTACGCTGACTCCAATATCGGAAACATAAGAACCGTTTTGAATAAAGATCTAAAACAGTTGCAGTCTTGGACCTGTCTTAATAAGCTGTGCATCTGTGAAGACCGAATGTGTCCTTTTCGGCACTCAACAACGAATCGCTTCGGCTACCCTTTCAGATGGGCCATTTAGCTTATTCCTTGGGATAAGCCGATAAATCAAGCACAACATTACATATACCTTGGTGTGCTAATAGATACAAATCTCAATTTCAAACAACACGTGGATAAGCTACTGGTTAAGATTTCCAAGAGAATCGGTGTCCTCGGAAGAATTAGAAACAATCTAACTGTCGATGCAGCCAATAAAGTTTATCATTCTCTTGTTCAGCCGGTTATGGATTATTGCGATGTTGCTTGGAGCAGCATTGGGAAAATAGAACGTGATAAGTTAGATCGAGCACAAAGAAGGGTAGCTAGGATGGTTTTGAAGACTAAAGATTCAGACACCGAGAAGAATTTAAAGTGGCTTCCCTTGTCTATGAGGCGTGATATGCACACTATTAATTTGACTTTTAAATGCTTGAAGGGATCCCCTCCAATGTTTTTTAAAGATTATTTTAAGGTTTTTAGAACAGCCCACAACACGAGGGGAAGTGGGCACAACTTGCTGCTCCCCAAAGTCAGAACTGAGACGGCAAGGAAGTCTTTTTATAAAAACCCGTTTATTTTCAAAATAGATGAGATATTTGAAAGTTGCCAAGCACAGTTTTGTAGCGGCTTATATTTTGTATCTTCTTAGGGTAGTAAAGTAAGATAACTCTTGCTAAAAAGTGTGCCCATTTTTTCTTAAAGATATTTTGAAACTTTGAGGAGCTGTAAGGTCACGTGACCTAATTTGCATAATTTTGGTCTGTTTTAAAGCATCAATTTTGGTGTTGTGTAATATTTTTTGGTATTTCCTGCTTCATGATAAACCATTCATATTACAGACCACCCCCCTCATTTTTACACCAAAATGGCTGTTGACCCATGCCTTAATTTACCTGAGAATTTTAATGGATCTAAACTTTTTAATAATATTGCAAGTGAAATGAAGGATTCTAAGTCAGTTGTGATTTGTAAAACTCGTACTTTGGAATTATATAGATCAAAAGTTTTTTAGTTACTTATTAAGTTTTTGTATTAGTTTAGCTTTCAAATGCATTTTAATTGCTGTTTTTTAGCTTTTTTAAACAATATTTTAATCTTGTTGTATTTTAAACTTTTAGTGTATTTTTAGTCATTGTAATTTAGGCTAGTTTTATATAGATATATATATATTATTTTATTTTATCTATTTATTTATTTTTTCCAGGGCCCTCATTGATAGCAGCATTTTATGCTGAAAAGATAAGCCGGGCTAAATAACATTTATTATTATTATTATTATTATTATTATTATTATTATTAACTTCGGAAAATCGTAGGGAATTTATTAGATGAGCTTCCAAATTGTACATGAATGGAACGGCCATCTAGAAATTTTTAGCTGCTCTCAGATAATAGAAAATTCTAGGCAATATTTGCATCTCCCAACAGATATTTTACAGAAAACAGTCGCCAGCGGGTGCCCCTGAAGTAGGACCCCAGCATCTCACAACGGCGACCGATAATTCTAACTCGTCTAGTCTTTTCAAAGGAGGGAAAATAAGCTAGAGCTGGAGAGTCCGGGTTTAGAAAGATAGAGTAAAATCAGGACCCCATAAAAGGCGGAGCGAGCAATTCCCATACTGGGCCTATGTTACGGTGTTTTTACGGACCGGTTTATTTTTAGATACAGTTTAGGACACTTTTTCTCGCGAAAATGTAATCTCTGCCACGTCTATGAACGCATTCGAAGTATATTAGATATCAAAAGGAGAACGGAACGTTATTAAAAGGCAAAAATTATCATTTTAAGGTCTGTAGGTTTTGCTGACTGGTTTTTGGGACTTTAAAGATATAATTCTAAATTCGCGCCTAAACCGTTCTAAAAATAGACTGGTCTGTAAAAACGCCATGACACGAGTACATGGAAGTTGCTCGCTCCAGGTTATGGGCTCCTGGTAAAATTCATCTCCTTCTCCTAACCTGCGATCAGGCGTTCAGGGAGAGAAAAAGTCGGCGAACGACGAACGGGGAAAAAGGAAGGTCCTTTTTTGTCCCCACCTTTCAAAGAACAAAGGAGGAAGGGTACCTGATCTCAGAATTAGAGCCGATCCTCACGAAACATGACCTTCCAGTAGGTCACAGGGCGCCGGCACAAATTGTGTGACCGCAGGACTAATCGGCTCCTGGTGAACGTTGTAATGTTTGTGATTTAGAGGTGGGGCACCCAACGACAATTCCCTCCTAAATAAATTGAAAACACTTTTTAGGCTTTCCAGAGTACTTTTAGATCTCTAGAGATAACATGCATCATTTAAGCGGCGCTATAGAATTGGTCTCTGTTTGGTCATTCTAGGGGGACTTGAGTCTTTTCGAAATTACAAGGGCTTCAGCAGTTATTCTCCGAAAAGTTGGATACATTTTAACGTATTTACCCTCTGATGCAACATCATTTCTTTCAGGGGCACCCAACGTCAATTTTCGGAAAATATCTGTTCCGAAGACGATTTGAGACCTAGAATTTTCGGAACATTTGTTGTAAAATTTCTTGCTTGCCTGCCTCTCCTAGGATTTTCGAACATATAAAGAATGGTATAATTGCCCATTTTCAACGGAGTTTTACCCCAAAGAGGTGACCTAGAATTTTCGGAAGCCTTTTTTGGGCTGAAATTTTCGAAAAGGTAAGTTTTGATCCCTATAATTTTCGGATCACTAGACTTTCAGCTAGGAAATCCGAACAGATGAAACATTTTTAGGGGATAAAAAATATGCCTATATCTACCGTTTAAATACTATAGAATACGTTCAACAATGCTATGTTTAAGTGGTTTTGAACTATATTCTCGTTGGGTGCCCCTGTTCTCTGACCTCTTTTAAAGCGTAAAGTGTTTCATTACGGCTGAGCCTGAAGGACCCCAATTTTCTCTACAGTGCCTTCTGGATCTGAATAACTAAGTGATTTTCTTCAGTCCGTAATCTGCCATCTGCAATGTTGTACGTATCTGGGCAAGCTGGGCCCCGCGTTAGTTTTCTTTGCAGGATGTTAATTATCACGGATAGTGATTTACAGATCCAAAGTCATAAGAATGAAGTGCAGCTTCAAATGAAGCCGCATCAACCATGGAGAATTGCATTGTGACTCAGTAGATTCCAGCTTACTGTTTTTTTTTTTAAGAAAATGTGAGTCTTTTGACTGGAGCGCGTATTTCCTTCCTTGGTGATAGTTTTTTTAATAAGCTTAACAGTGTTTGGGCTGTTTTGTTATTGCCACTTTGTGATCAGGCAAACCATGGTTTCGGTTCTCCAAGCGAACCTCTTCAGTTGCCGGACTGGCTTTGTGTTTAGCTGCTTTTACAAGAGCAACTTTTTAAAAATGTTCTCTTTTGTGGCGAGAACGGTACAGCCGCAGCAGCCGTTCTTTCTACTGAGCTTTGACCTTGAGCATTTAATACCCGCGTGGCAGATGGAGCGGCAATCGAGCCTGACAGAGGGGTCAAGTCGGAAGTCGGAAGTTAGAAGTCAGAAGGTGGAAGTCGGAAGTTGGAATCGGAAGTCGAATCAGAAGTCAGAGGTCAGAAGTGGGAAGTGGGAAGTCCGAAGTTTAAACATGCAGCATTGAGTCTGAACGGTCAGAAATCAGAAATCTGGAGTTCGAACTTTGTCAAGTCTGAGTTGGTCCCTGCCTTTCTTTACTCCCTACATTTGCCTCTCTATAAGACAGATACCTCTGTAAAAAGGACATCTAGACTTGGTCCCTGCCTTTCTTTATTCCCTTTATTTGACTCTGTATAAGATGGACACCTCTGTAAAATGGACACATAGAGTTGGTCCCTGCCATTCTTTACTCCCTTTATTTGACTCTCTGTAAGATGGACACCTCTGTAAAATGGACACATAGAGTTGGTCCCTGCCATTCTTTACTCCCTTTATTTGACTCTCTATAAGACAGACACCTCTGTAAAATGGACACATAGAGTTGGTCCCTGCCTTTCTTTATTCCCTTTATTTGACTCTCTATAAGATGGACACCTCTGTAAAATGGACACATAGAGTTGGTCCCTGCCATTCTTTACTCCCTTTATTTGCCTCTCTATAAGACGGACACCTCTGTAAAATGGACACATGGAGTTGGTCCCTGCCATTCTTTACTCCCTTTATTTGACTCTCTATAGGACAGACACCTCTGTAAAATGGACACCTAGAGTTGGTCCCTGCCTTTCTTTACTCCCTATATTTAACTCTCTATAAGATGGACATCTCTCTGAGATGGACAGTCATTCAGTGCCTGTCCCAAAGGTGTCTTTCTCAAAGAGAGTTGAGTGTAGTTCCAAATATGAAACAATAAGAAGTTTTCAACAGTAACAAAACCCCAGTTTACTTCAGGTAAACAGCATCTCAATTAATTTTAATTGATCGTATGTACGAAACTCTAATGCAATGCTAAACACAACATTTCATGCAGCTAAACTGTAGCGGCTTCGGGCTTTGAGCTGTGATCAAACATCCCAGTTCTTCACACAGCAGTATTCCAGGCTTGGATTCATTAAGCATTCTCGATAAAAAAAATTCTCAACAAATTTCTTTAAACGACACAGTAATTAGGCCATATTTGTTTTATAGATCACATTCCATGTAGGGTGCAGGGTTGTCACTAAGATTTCAAGTTGCCGGGTAAATACAGCAAGTAGGCGGGGAATCAAATGGCTAGGGATTTCTTTTGGTTCTATTTATTTTTATAGATCTGGGGAAAACGTTCCATGTAATGACAACCCTGAGGGTGTATTTACAGAGTAAAATAAATGAAGTAATCCTCTTTCAAAATAAGCTAACTTGAAGCTAACAACAACTTTCCAAACTAGGCCAAACAGTAACATGTTTGTGATGTTTTTTCCCTTTTTAAACAACTTACATTCACATTTACAAGCGTTTCAAAGAATCTAAAGTATCCTCTGTTCACACTTGTAATAGATAACTTTTAAGAAAACCTTGGGTTCATCATCAATTATTCTCAGCAACACCCTCAAAAGGGATATACCGGTAATCAAGAAATCAGTGCGAGCATAAATTATTGTAAGCATAGTATTTACAGGCCACCAAAGGAATTTTTAATTACTATAATTTTATAATTAAATTCCACCAAAGGAATTTAATTATTATATCATGTAAGCATGAGAATCCCTTATATCTCAGCTTATTGTTATATACAATGGTCAGGTAAGATCTGACCACTTTTGCCTGTATGTATATGAACCGAGAACATCAAAAAGCAATGCAAAACATCTGCTAACTCCAATTTCACAGGAATCTCAAACAAAAATACTATAATCATCTCTCTCTGGAGGTGAATCAATGGAAAATCTTTTGGAATTGCTGAGTCGAATCTCCTTAAACTGCTACCACTTCAAATAAAGCTGACTTGTACTTGTCTGTGTGTAAAATTATAACAATGTGCCATCAATTTATTTCAGTTCATCAATTTGGAGGACTGCCTTAACCTGTGCCCGGCTCTCGGTCAGTGCAGACCAGTGAAAAAGGCGAGCATGTAGTGTGAAGTAGCAAAGAGAAGGAGGAGCCTGTGAGCATTGTTTTAAATACCTCAATCCGCCCACTTCCTGAATGTGTGTAGAAAGGTTTTACATGCTCAACTCTGTGTGTGACAGCAATAATGATTGACTTACAATGTAAGTGTTGAAGTAAGCTGTCACAATAATTTGATCAATCTGGTATTACCAGAATCATCAATGAGGCATTAAAAACAATGTGTACAGGCTCTACAACTCTGTCTTTCCCCAGCCCCAACGCAGCTTTTGCGCAACTTTTCTTGATTCGCTTTCCCCATGATCTTAAACCCCGGAACAGGCTGGGACTGCCTACGAAGGCACCATCAGAATCATGCAAAACTTAGAAGTCATGGTACATGTAAATGAAAACATTAGGCGGTAAGTTTGCCAACCTAAAGCAAAATGAAGAGGGATATTTAAAAAGCCAGTCACCCTTCATTGCCTCAACATTTTAAACAGGAAATTTCTCTTTAATATTATTCAACATCAGTTGTTATTTTTAAGATTTCCTGTCAAAGATTCCAGTGAGAATTCAAGTTAGCAGAGTTCATAAGTATCAATAACAACAACAGTAATCAAATTTGTTACATCTGAGTGAAACAATTTGTCATGTAAGCTTGTTCAAAAGTATGTTACACAATACAAGAGTAGGGACCTATATCCTGTGACTTCTGATCATAATTATGCCTGGATTTTACCAAGAGCTGATCATCATTTCCTGGACATTTAGAGGTTTCATGTCAAAGCAACAACCAATCCTCAAGAAAACCGTGAAACTGTCATTATTTGAGCGTATCTGGTTGCTTTTTCACTTCATGATTGGGCTGTCTAGTATTTCTTTTTAACACCACCCGTTTCTTCTTGGCAGGGGATGGTTCTTCCTCATCAGGATCTTCACTCTCTCTCTCACTGCTATCCTCCTTTTCCTGGCCACCATTTTCACTAACGATTGGTTCGAGCCTTGGTGCATCCGGCAGTACTCTGGAGGCAAAGAAATTTTACCACAAAATGTTTTGCAAGTGTAAGAACCCTGAGTAATACACCATTTTTTGAGTTGCCCCAAGCCTCTGTTTCAAAGCGAGGCTAAATTGAAGCTATCGATATGAAAGTGATTTTTCTTTCTCATGCAAATAAAACTCATTTCACAAGAAAGGTTTTGCACCCAGCATAGTTTAAAGGGGAGAGTTTTGGCAACTTAGAAATGGTCTATTTGTGCAACATTCTAAATTAGATCAACACTGCTTTAGTCTAGCTTTTTAGTTTTCATACCACAAAGTTGTGAAAGTAACAACCCCTTGAAAGTAGCGAACTTCTGAAACTAGTGATAAAATGTCACAGGTGTTAGCAAATCCCAAAAGTAGCAATCCCACCGAGTGTGGAGACCTCAAAACTAACTTCCCTCTTTGCAAAATATATTGGATATGATAGAAATCCTGAACAATGTCACACTGATTCGAGGTACAGGATGTACATAACCTTTTTTCAAAAAGTATTCCTTTCACATTTTTTGGAGTGCCCATGGGGAGTACACGTTTTTGCCATCCAAAAGTAATGAACCCTGAAAATAGCGAGCCTCCAAAAGTAGCGATAGCTGAAGGGTGCTAAATACAAGAGTAACGACCCAGAACTTTACGGTACCTGTAGTCAGCTTACAGACTTACCTTCTTACAATAATAACAGCTCTTCTTTTCTTCACATCTTGAGGTCTTATACAGTGAGTAATATCATCAGCAGCATAACCACTACATACAAGCATAAGGAAAGCATATGAATAATTCATCTTATTAATTATTAATACACCTACATGTAGTGGACAGGTTTTAGCAGTGATGACATGGATTATCTGCAAACTTTAGGCCAGATCACCATAACATAAAGGGAAAGTTAAACAATTCCCGTTCTTGTAACTTTTCTAGTTGCACTGTTTCTCTAATGTGTATGGTAAATGTTGTTGGTCAAAATGAAATTCAGGTTAAAATGATTTTAACCTTAGTTTGATTATCAATTTTCTTTGTTTCCTGACCCTGAATATTTTAATGAATAATTGGGACTCGAAAATAAAGGAAATTGAGTGTCAAACCTGGGCAAAAGATGCTGTTCTCCTTTCATCCTATTTTTAGAATCATAGGTGCAGCTAATTCCCAGCTACCAATTCAAAATATTAATACTACTTGCAATAACCAAAGGTTACGGAGTGAAGAGAGTTTTAGGCTTCTGATTGAAGGTCAAAACACTCAATGCTGGTGCTTTTTGAGTAACTTTCACTTAATAAAAGGTCAAAATGTACATGATTAGATAACAAGTTGGTGACAGAAGGTACAAATGCGTGTGATCAGAATGTGCTCTATAAATAGACCTTTTTACCAATATTGCAGCCATATGGAATTTATTAGATTTAAGGAGTATAATGGGATGCCCATGGGGCACTCGCTCAGTATTTACACGGGCTTTTCCGCCCCCCACCTACATGTACATGCAGCGATGTAGCTAAAAAAAAGCTAAGCCGGCTTTTTTATTACACACGTCACTTTTTTTCTCAACTGCACATAAACAATCCTCTCATTGCCTTGTGTTACAGAGCAATTTGAGCCAGAACGAAGATCTTTTCTAGCAGGCTTTTAGTGACATCCCTGTACTTATACACAAGGATACTGACACACCCTGATGCAGGTCCAAAATCTGTCCTGGAAAGATCATCCTCCAAAAACACAGAACTACAGCTGTAGGAGAATTTCTCTTCTCCATAACTGTCGCTTAAAGGGTGGCCTGTTGCCTCCCTCATCCTTTCTCTTAGGGCTACTTCTTCCCATTTTATTATGCTATTTCCAACAGAGAATATGAAAAATTTTACTCTTGTGCTTATGTTCTGACATCAAACTAAATCATCCACTTTAATTGATATTTAACACCTGTACTGGCTTCTCCACCGAAACACTAAAATAATTAAGCCCTTGAGTGAAGTTTACATTAAACATTGGGTGGCCAGAATGCCACAAGGATGACTTTTTTTCACTAACTGGCCCCAGTTGTTCAAACGTTGGATAGTGCTATCCACCGGATAAATCACTATCCAGCGGATAAGTATTAGGGAAACTAATTGCCCTATCCATTGGATAGATTTTTATCCTGTGGATAGCGTTATCCAACGTTTGAACAACCGCGGCCTGGCCTTGGTTGTTCAAAGGCTGGATAGCGCTATCCACCGGATAAATTACTATCCAGTGGATAGTGGAATTAGTTTCCCTAATACTTATCCGCTGGATAGTGATTTATCCGGTGGATAGCACTATCCAACGTTTGAACAACCGGGGCCTGGACTTTAAGCTTTAACTCGTATGCTTTTAATAATCGTGATTTGTAGTTTTTCTTCACCTAAAAAAGAACGCTAGATGTATTCAAGGAAAACATGTGGTATTTTAAAATAAAAAATACTGAATAATTGTAAATTCAAGGCTGGCGACCTGACGACTTCAAATTGGTTTACTTATCTTAATAGAATCTGAATCTCATTCGAATGGATTCGCCTGAAGAGGAAGTAAAATTTAAGCTTAGGCTGAATAAACGTTGCAAACTAATGTTACGCAAACTAACTGCATGGAATACGAGACAGATACAAACGCTTGTGCAAATAAGCAGTAAAAACTCACCTTAAAGTAGTAACACAGCCGCGGGGAAGAGGAAGGGTTAAAACTGGCGTTGAGGTACGGATGGGTTTAAACGAGAATTTGCAGCCAAAACTCAAGGAAGACTCGCTAAAAAACGAGCAAGACACAATAGGTCGATCAAAGATATGCGGCGGATCGATGTGCGAAACTATACAGCCCCCAGGCTGATAATCGTTTATTACAGCACTGTTTACAAAACCTTTAGGCACAATTCCAGCCTTCTCGAGGCGAGAAATAACCAACTCGAAAATCCACTCGGGTATTTCGTCCACTTCTCCTCGCGGAAAAAGTCTCTCTTGACCAGGACCTCGTTCGGTTAACTGTTTCCCGTATGTGTAGCCCTCACCGAAGAAATATTTGACTCGCAAAGGAGCCCTATCAACTGTTCGGCTCCTGTAGGTCCCACTCTCTGCAAGCTCAACAATTTCATCGATTTTTTCTTCAATTTTTTCACATTCTTCCTTGTCGAACAAAATTCGCTGACGAATTCCTTGATGAACTTTTTGCAACTCAACGTCCCTATCATACGGTCTCTCGTGCGTTGAATGCTGACGATGTGAACCAGAAATTTGTTCTCGTCTTCGCTTCCTATTTTCCAAATGTTGCTTTCTATGAGGCGTACTGTTAAGCTTCTCTCTCAAGTCTGTGTAGGATCTCCTCTCGTCTGGTTCAACACCCGCCATATTGCTCGCATCTTCGCTGTTTTCCAGCCTCGGTTTGATGTTCTTGGCTACGTAACTCGTCCCAGACCATCTGTTTATGCGTGGTGGTTAGCAGGAACGAGGTGGAACTTTACGGGGTGTTTAAGAAAATGTTATTTGCTTTATTGTAGGAATAAAAACGTTCCAGATATCGACCAAAAAAAATGAAAATGAAAATAACTTCGAAATCGGCTACTAAAGATTTTCCCCTGGCCTCAGAGCCCTCAAGGTTTATATCTGTAAGTTTGAAGTCAAACGTGACCACACAACTCGCTGCACAAAATGCTAGCCAAATTTAACCTTAAACAGGGGCACCCAAAGACAATTTTCGGAAGAATATCTGTTCGGAAGACGATTTGAGATCTAGAATTTTCGAAACATTTGTTGTAAAATTTCTTGCTTGCCTGCCTCTCCTAGGATTTTCGAACATCTGAAAAATGGTACAATTGCCTATTTTTAAAGGATTTTTACCCTAAAAAAGTCACCTTGAATTTTCGGGAGCCTTTTTTCTGGCTGAAATTTTCGGAAAGGTAAGTTTTGATCCCTATAATTTTCGGATCACTAGACTTTCAGCTAGGAAATCTGAACAGATGAAAAATTGTTAGGGGATAAAAATATGCCTATGTCTACCGTTTAAATACTAAAATACACTGTAAATTAAAAAGATCTGTTTCAGCCCCAAAGTGTCAATTCAGCCCTGCAGGCCAAAGTCTGATTCAGCCCTTCTTGGAGCCATTTGAGCACAATTTAGGCCAAAAAAGCTCTATCAAAAGGCTATTCCAGCCCACGGTAGGGCCCATTTCAGCCCTGGGACCGAATCAGCCCTAGCTAATTGGACTGTATTGGCCCTGATTTAAGGGAGCCAAATTAGACCCAAAAATAGGACTGTATTTTACTCACCGAAACGGCCCTGTTTTTAGGGCTAAAACAGATCTTTCTGATTTAGAGTGTACGTTTAACAATGCTATGTTTAAGTGGTTTTGAACTATATTTTCGTTGGGTGCCCCTGCTTAAAACGCTACGCTAAAAGATTTTTGAAAGTTGACGCACAAATAGTTGAAGAGTGCCGAAGGACTATCTCCCATCTTAATTAAAGGGTATTCTTACCTTGAGCTTTATTGCAAGAAATTAAGTTATCGGAAACCTACGGCGAATACAGTTACAGAAAGAACAACTTTTTGCTGAATGCGTGGTGAGATCAAAGAACTTCTATTCAACAAACTTATTTAGAATTTGTTCAATTCTTTTCGAAACAAATTTTAACTAAGCAAAGAATGGCATCCACGGAAATCTCCTACCAGTTGTTAGTACCCGAACTGCTGCGGTTCGGTGAGTGGATTGCTAGCCTGCGAGCACGCTCGCTTGTACGAGTTCGGGGAAAAATGACTTCTCCTCACGCGATGGCGGCTCCGCCACCAATCGTTTCCCTGAACCATCAGAATTGAGCCTCTCGGAGTCGCAGTGCTGGCAGCCTAATTGATTGCAAACAATCCCGGGAGTGGGGCATTTAATTTATCGTCCTCAGTATTCTCGTCGGGTATTTGACTGTTTTAGTGTCCCTTCCCCCACGATTTTGTCGTGCAAGAAGAAAACAAATTACTGAATGCCCGGGGCTTAGCCGGGTGGTATGGGCTCAGCTGGAATTGTCGATACATAAAAATCAACAGTTGAAAGCATTTTCCAGGAAAACAAACAGGAACAAATCGTTTTTGTTGGTTTCTACTTTATCATTTCGCTCCACAGCTGAATAACTTTGATCAACTGCTCGCACAGTTCTCCTCACCATACACTAGCTCTAGTCTCTCATTCTCTTTTTTCATCCAGTATAATGATGTTTTGCTTCACCATGATCGATTCCTTAGAGTCGGTAACGAATGGACCGAACATTACAAGAGCATGAGGAACCTATACGCGGCTAAATAACGTATAGTAATTGTTTTTGTCGGTACTGGGCTCGCTGGTGGGATACTGAGCAACATAGGAACCCTACAAAAATGCTGATTTCAAGACGGTTACAAATGCAAGAAACTTTTAATAAAACCTTTTTTTAAACATTTTACCGATACAATTGATAAAGACATTCCAACCCCTTTTAAAGGAAAATAGGGAGACTCACTTAGCTTTGAAGAAGCTAATACGAGTGCCGAAGGCATGAACCTTAAGGGAAGTAAGGGGGAAAGGGGCGTCTGAAGGCATGTTCCCCTAGAAATTTGCATATTTAGGTTCTCTCAAGTGCTTTTTGCTTCATTTTGACATCATTTCTGAGTTGTTCTGTAAGACATTGTATGAGAACCAAAAGTAATATGTAACCTTTTACTCTCAGATCGCAAAAAAAAAAAGATACTAAAGATATATCATCAGTTGTTTTTCTTCTTTTCAGAATTTCATGATAAATCGAGGGAATATATAAAAATCAGGAGAGTTGGAGACAACACAACAAATCGGGAGGGTTGGAATGTCTGTAAATAGATTGTTTCATGACCAAATTACAGACATCCTGCTACTCAGGGGTGGGGGGCGGGGGGCGGATAAGGAAAGTTAAAGGAGTTTGAAACCAAAGTGGTCGGTCGGATACTGGGCAACATGCATACTGTAATGATTTTTATGGCGGATAACGCTATCCAACGTTTGAACGACAGGGGTCAGGAGCCTGAATACAAAATTACAGACAAAACATAAACTTTTTTATTTCTATATCAAGAACATATGCTCAAGGGAAGATCGAGCTCACGCAGTCATTGCGTCTATTCGCAGTTTTATGCCTTTTTTCTGTTCATTATTCATCGCATCCACGAATGGTTTGCACAGCATGTGTGAGGCACTTATACATAATAAGAGACTGTGAATCTTCGGCTTTTTTAAAAACATGTTACCTTTCTCTGGGAAAGCTCACAGTGCAGAAGTAGTTTGTTTTTCTCAGGTTTCGGCCTAAGATGTAATGAATATTTTCTCAAGATTTAGTAGTTATTTAAAAATGAGACTGAAAAGGATGTACAAAATAATGCAGATCGAGGAGGATGTTACTTCCGAAACTAGACCATTCTTCACATCGCACGAAAGCCGAATTCAGTGATTGTTTAATTTAATTATTCATTCAAAATCTTTCTGAGTCTTAAGCTTATACCTTAAACTTTCTTAGAAACGTTTTCTATTATCGCCACAGTTTCAGGATAGTATTGTGGTTCAATTTTTTCCTTGGTTTAAATTTTATTTTCCTTTGTTTTTGGGTATGGTAATGTATGATAATGAGTTTAACATAAAGGAAAAAAATGTTAACTAAAGATAAAATTAAACCACAACATATTAGATGTTTTTCCTTACAGATACTCTTAAAAAAGTAGATAACACCTTGAACAACATATTTTACGCAACTGATCCTTTTAGTTAGTAAAAAATTCAGCTATTTTGTCCTCGCATAGCCGTGAACGCCATTTTACGTTTTAGTTCACTAAGGAATAAACTGCTAGGAAGGAGGTTGATAGATGGTATATCATAATTTATACCACCGAATCGATGGTATATTGCTCGCATCTTCCAAACATATAGTAATCGCCAGTGTGTTATGAAAAATTTGCCGGGGGATCGGAATAAATAAAAAACGGCGAAATAATTTGAATCAATACTAATTGATCTTATTTTGTTGGACCGAGACGATATGCTGTCTTCAGTAAAAGCAATTGACCAACCTATAACTATTTTCTATCCAATTTTTATGGTGGGTTAGGGACTTTTAAACCTCATCAAACACCGCTGGGATAAGTGAGGTAACACACTTGTTAGTGGCGTGCGAAAACAGCCGTTTCTCTTCGCTCTTCGCCGCTGGGGACGTTTCGCGAAACGTCCTCAGTGGCGAAGAGCGAGGAGAAAGACTGTTTTCGCATGCTAACTTGTTAGGTATCGTCTAAACAAACAAAAGCGAAGGTATTGCAGCTCGATATATTTTTTGACTGAGTTTTACAACTAGACCAACTTAATTTCTTTACAGCTTTACTTCAAAAAAGCTATCGCAGTAAAACAAAACATCACAAACAAATTGTAACAAAGCTGATTTATCACAAGTTGAATTTCAGTTTTAATTGGGCAGAGGTCCTACCAAATTAGCACTGCAAAAAATGTAATTTGGTGAAGGATCGTTGCTAGGATGTCTTTTTAAAAAATTAAATCCGCTTTCATTTTGGCGCAGTTAAAAATTAATCGAAATATCAGGCTTTAGAAGCTTTCTTAGTTAACAGATGTCTCATTCACATCATATCTTTTACAAAATTATGATTTCTTCCGAATTCACTGCCGGTGGTTTTGTTACTCTCGGGGAAAAGAGGTTTCGTTAAGATTATGAGTCACACACAAATAAAGAAATTATGTACATTCCCCACTTGTAACAATCTTTGCGACTCAACAAAATAACGATTCTGTCACAAACGTTTCCGTTTACATTATGACCGAAAGAAAACGGAGATGACGCGGATTGGTGAAGACTGAAAAAGTTAATGCTATTGTAGCAAAAGTTTTAAAAGCACATACATTTGAGAAAATTTCTCATTTATGTACTTTGTAGCTCACGACAAGCAAAGTACAACACTAATCATCAATTTCAGATATGGGTTTCCCTCAAGTGATAGCAACCTTCCACGTGATGTACGACGTGATCGGTCTTCCTGGTAATTTATTGGTTATATTGACGATCATCTTGGAATCAAGATTTCATGTGATGCGATATATATTACTGGCAAGTCTCGCGTTATCGGACTTTCTGCTATTGATCCTCGTTAACTCATTCCGTATCGGAAGCATAGCGCAACAACGTGATTGGTTGTACGGCGAAACAATGTGCTATCTCAACCCGTTCTTTGCAAGATACTTTTACATCAACACGCTTTTTCACTTGGTATTGCTAGGTATCGATCATAAGACACTGCTAGTTCGGTCGCCTTTGACGTACGATGGCGTCATTACGAAAACCAGAGTGGTGTTTATGGCTCTCATCTGGATAATACCGAGTCCACTTTCCATCGATCTACTTTTGGGCT